ATGATAGGAATCTGGCTGTTTAGGGTCAAGGACACCCTCAGAGCAGTCACCCTAAGGCAAGAATAGGCCATGGGGAGTCAAATCTACTGCCTCCTTAGGACCCAGATGAGTTTGGAACAGAGGGGAATCTGATAAAATGTATAAGAGAACTGCACAGGACAGCCACCCCACAACAAAGAATTATCTTGTCCAAAATGTTAATAGTGCTGAGATTGAGAAACTCCAATCTAGAGAAAGCGCTACAATTTTTTGTCATCCAAGTATGAGTTTCTTGTGTTCAGAACCCAACTCATTGAGCTATTGGTATTCAATAATTAGCAGAGCACCCTGTGAATAGATAATAAATCCAACATAATCCAGTTCTCTTTTGAAAAGTAGCCATTTCCATTTCCACAGTTCCTCCCCTGAAATTATCTGAAAGGGAAATGTCACTCAGTTAGAAGGCTCCAGCTTGCCGGATAACAGGAGGAAAGTGCTTCACAATATCTTTCCAGAAATGAGAAGAGGACAGAGTGTACTCAGAAACAGAGGTGCAGGCAAATGAAGGTTACTGACAGCCAAAAACACTGAGACTGGTAAACATCATGATAGCTGGACAGACAAGGAATCCCTGTATCCATATGATGGCCTTTTGACATGAAGGAATAGGAGTAAACATCAAGGGTAAAGTAGCTTATATTTTATTGAAATAAACTAGATGAAAGATCATATCTTAAATGATATGTCTTCAAGCATGTGCTACATCAAGGTCTTGACAGCATCATTTTCCCAAGAGATGTGCCAGTAAATTTAAGTAGTTTCCAAGTTATAAGTATCTTGATTACCAAAGAGCAGCGGGATGCAGAGCCTGACCAGTAAAATCAAAGGATTGATGGCTTCCTCTTCACACTCCTGCCTTTATTTTCCCCTGCATGGCTCATTATTCTGCTGCATTAATTTAAGCTTTCCTATTGCACTGAATTAAGGGCTTAAATTCTCTTATCATCCCTGTGGGAATCTTGATTGTTTATTTGTGGATGAGAATAATTGTTTTTGTTGATCCCCAAATGTGGAAGGTAAAAAAAAAATGCTATGGTTGATGGCCAGCTCATACATAGTGCTGCGTGCATGAGTGACAAATTATGAAACAGTACTTGGCCCCAGAGGATACCCTTTAAGAATTTTTAAGGCATTTGATAGTTATCATTTTGAGGCATTTGATACTTATCACTAAGTCTTTCCAAGCTGGAAATCATAAACAATTTCACATACATCAGGCAAAGTCTTTTTGTTGTAGTTTTCATTGAAACTTAAAGGTCTAGTTGGGTGTAATTTATAACTTCTCATTTCTAGTATGTTCACACAGCAACTCAGTAGAGTTTGGAAATGGTGCAGCTACAGGACGTTCCAGAGCCAGTGTCATCAGGCCAGTGAGTTCCTCTAGGGACCTAGATTACTAGGCATTTATTTGAAAGAATTCCTGGATTCATCCAGAAGTTGTCATTATTCCACTGCAAGCATCACTATATGGACATTGACTTCAAATAGTTAGAGAAAAAAACTACTTTGCTAGCCCTAGCTTGTACTGTGGATAGGAAACCCCACGCCATTTAACATCCCAGATATATCAGAGGCATCAGGGAAAGGAACTGCAACTGTCTAATTAAGTGCTATTTGTAGGACAGGGCACTTGGGCAGTATGAGCCTCCCCCATCTGAATCAAATGCAACACATCTTGTTTAAAGAGCTATTGAGCTAATTAGCATGGCCTGTCTACACAGAAATAAAACAAACCAGGTTAGGTCCTAAAGGAATCAAGGATCAGAAATGTGGTAAAGTTTCCTTATTAGGTGGTAAGAAGGAAAGATCTTTGACCAGATGCCAAACCCTGAAATTCTTGATCCTCTTTTCCTGTGGTAAAGAGAACACAGATATATAGAGAAGCCACTACGACCATTGCATCTTCTTTATTCTTTGAGGGCTCTGTTCTGAAAGCTTACTGTTGAACCTTCAGAAATGACTGTGTGGGCTGGACTGGAATGAGTCAGGAGAGCTTGTTTTGCAGAATAAGTGTCCATATGTCACAAAGAGGATCTTCCTCTTTTTCCTGGAGATATATTATCTTTGTCTTTGATAATTAACACATCTGTGAAGGGACCACATCAAAGGGAGGGCGATTTTTCCTAATTATGATTTTTTTTTTCGCACTGAAATTCACCTTTACCCTTAGCACTATGGTTCAGTTATGGCCTTGGCCTTGGTCAGCCATTGCAACACCTTCCATGAGTGGCAGTGTAAAGGAGTTCTCCCCATGAAAGTTTTGTGACCATTGTCGCTACCATTGCAAGGTAAAAACTTTATACCCAGCTTATCTTTTTATATATACTGCATACATTTAGTATCATGCCTGTCACACAAGGGAGCACGAAATGTGATCTGACCAATTCACGTGTTTGCTCATTACAATATCCGATATGCATGGAGCATGGTACTGCACAATGGTTAAAACTTAATTACAGACTGTTGAGGGTGATGATCACAGAATCATTTGATTTTTAAATTAGAAGAAACCTTGGTTATGACTTCAACCATCTCATTTTAGACACAAGGAAAATAAGACCCAAAGAGGCTAAATAAGTGTCCAAAGCCTCATGTTCGAGTAGTGGCAGAGCTGCAATATCAAACCAGATATCCTCACTCCAATTCTGACTGCACTCTGTGTTGACTCTGAAACACATGGCTGTGCTTTGTTGCACGGTATTGTGATCAATTGTTTTAACATGTGTGCCTCCCTCCCTAGACCATGTACTCGTAAGAAAATATTCATCACCAGGCTCCTAGCACAGTCAGTGGCACATAATAGGATCCCAATAAATGTTGGTTGAAAAAGCGAATAAATGAGTAAATACATGAGACTTGTTTTTTTCCTCATCATATAGAAACAAACAAATGCCGTAACTTTTAGTGATCTCTACGAGTGCTTGGTCAGCGTAATAATGAAGAATAGACAATATAGGGAGTGGAAGGTAGAAAAAATAGTATGAGAAAGAAGAGAAAAAAAAAAAGAATACACAATTCCATAGGAATAATAACTAGACAAATTCAGTACATAGACAAAATGTTTAGATTCAATTTGGGAGCATTTTGTCAAGACTCGTGCCTCCTCTGATCTCTTCTCATTTTCAAATAAGGGCTTTTTAAGCAGATGGTGCTTTAAACAATTCCCATCATTGCTGCTCCTCCTCAGACCCCAGAATGCAGGATTGACTTCAGGTTAAGTTGTCTAAAAGGCAAAGTTGTTCGTTAGTGTATCTCACTTCCCTGAGATATGTCTTCCCACTCATTTTGCATCTATTGCTGCCCCATGTTGCTGCTACTATCACAGAGGAAAGTGCACGTAACTCGCTGTGATCTGGTTTCTGGGATATTTTCCATACGTCAGAAGATACGAAGGAATGGCTACTTAAGCAGTGACATTTAAGACTCAGTGACAAGTATGCAGAGAGGAGGTATATGGGCTGAGTTTGTGTCTCCTTGTGAATCACCCAAAGTCAATGCAAGTAAAGGCTAAAAAATCCAATCATCTACCCCCACTGTGAGTTTGTGTTTTTCCTGAAATGCTGGCACGTTGTAAGTAATTTGACACTAAGTAGTGCCTGTTAAAAAGAAGCAGCAGCAGCAGCAGCAGCAGCAGCAAAGGATTCAAGGCTCCTAATTATAGCACACTGATGGCTTGGTGCTGGGGTGTGCATCAACAATATTGAGCAAGTACTGGCTGGAGGGCTGAATCCAGACAGCGGTTATCAGTATCTAAGTGTCAGTTTCAACTGGCTGTGCTCCTGTAGGCCAAGAAGTCTACATGGAAGGTAGACCATTTAATCTTTTTCAGAGGTGTTGCTACACAGCTGTCAAACAAATTGGGCTAGTCCAAATGCCCCGTGGAGAGAGTTTTAAGGAGATGGGCAGTCATCTGATTTGAATGGATTGAGTCACATTGGCTAAAGACAAATATGGAGATCCAGTTTTCACTGAAAATTCCTTTGAACCATTTGGAACTTGGCAGATGCCCAATCAGCACTGCATCTAAGTACATCCCCACCCTCCCACTCAAGTTCCTGCATTTCCCAGATCTTCTTTGAACATACCAACCATACTTCCATATTTGTGATTTTGTCCTTGCCCTTCCCTCTTCCTGAAATACCTTTTCCTCATGTGGTCCACATAGCTTCTTCCTCCTTGACCCTCCCCTCTGTCTTTTTCAGATCTTTGTTCCCATGATCAAAGAAGCCTTTCCTGGCCAACTTTTATAACATAGCTACCTCCAAATCCAATCCACTGGCCTTCGCAAAGACAGAAGCTTTCGTTGTTTTGATCGTTATTGTATCCCCAGCCTCCAGAACAATGATTACCATGTCGCTTGTTCAATGGAAATACAATGAAGTTGATAATGTAGGTCTTAAAAAGGAAAAGTCTTGTCTTATAATGCCTGGAAAACAGTTAAGGAAATCTTTTCAGATGCTTTCATTTCAAGTTAATCACATACACTGCATGTAAGTTACACTTAGAAACCCAAGCAGCCTTTAAGAAAGTAGTAATATGTCCAGGTAAGCAAGATAGCACTATTATCATTCAGTACCCATCCAGGCTCCAAGCAGCTTTAAGAGAACCTTTCCTCTGATAGACAGCACTAATTTGTGTCTTATGGAAAATTAAATAAATTATTTTTCACCTGAAGGGAGCAGGATTATTTGACTTCAGATATTTGCCATATGGCTTCTCTTGCACACAACATAGCTTTGAGGCTTAAGGTAGTAAGAGCAAGAGCATTCCTATAAATTATTCAGAGATAATTCAAAATAAGTGTGCATCTTTGACATATTGTCAAGTTTCTCAATGCTTTTTCCTGATAACAAGTGCTATGTTTTTGATGAAATGTTGCTTGTTTCTCACACACCTTATTGTTCTGTGTGTGTGTTCTGTGTTTTGTCCTGTTTGTTATTGTTTGTTTTAATTTCCCTCAGAGTCCAGTCTGGCTCGTATCTCAGCACAGGGTGGTTTACCTTCATTCTGGCCATGGACGCCTGTTATGGCATTCACGTCTACGGGATGATAAATGACACCTACTGCAAGTAAGATCACAGGAAATTATTTTTATGCAGCTCCAATTCTGAGATCTTGTCAAAATATCACAATTCATTTTAATACCATAAATCTAAGAAACAGATAAAGCAACAATTATTTCCCAGTGTTCTTTGCTGACATGACATTTTATTGTCAGTGCATCAAGTTGTGACTTCTAGGGGTGATAAAAAGAAAAATATTTACCAGTCTAATGTCAAGTATCAGGAGGAACACTTTTCCCTTAATCAGTGGCATAGCAGGAACTTGTGGCTTGAAAATATAGAAGTTTAGTGGTTGTTTAATTTGCAAAAGCAAGTTTGTCATTTCTGCTGCTCTGATGGCTTGATGGATAGCTATCTACTCAATGGTTAGTTAGATTTGATCATGAACGAAAAAATGTCCTGAAGCCTCAGAGAAACTGACAGCTTAACAAGAATTCCTGGAAATTGTACTTCACTAATAAGTGAGTAATCTGCCAGATCCTTATTTAAAATGAGTGTGTTTACCCACAGTATATCCTCGCTGGTGGGATAGTTTCTAATTAGATAATAAAACAAACCCTCCATGCTTCATCAGGATAATGAAATCTATTTCCCTACCAACAATTGGCACAATATAATTCACAGACTGTTTTAATCATAATGTCAAAATGGTAACTCTCAGCCACAATCATCATGGACAAATATTTCTTCCCTAACTATAAGCATAATGGAGCTCAGATGAACCCAATATCTTACTGTGAAAAATCACAGTTTCTTCAGGTTCTGCAAGAGGCTATCTGAAGTTTCTTCCATTACACACCATTTCTTTTTTCAAAGAATAGCCATATGTTTGAATGTAATTGGCATGATATATAAATTTTATTTGATCTATTAAGCCACTAAGAACCTGGTACATCTTCCTAAAAGCTTTCATACATATAATAGCTTTTAACTGAGTTCATGGACAAGAATCATGTATGGGTTTGTGAGTAAATGCATTTACTGGGCACATAATGGATTCTTGTAAATGAGTGCTTCATTCTTCATCTCAATCTTTCTCTCCTTTTCTTTTTTTTTTCTTTTCTAGGACAGAAGGGTATAGAAAAGTCCCCTACCATTACTATGAACAAGGAAGAGATGAGTGCGATGAATATTTTCTTCATGAACATGCCCCATATGGGGGTCATAGGTTTATCACTGAAAAGAAAGTGTTTGCTAAATGGGCCAAGAAGCACAGGATAATATTTACACATCCAAACTGGACATTGTCTTGATAATGGTTTTTCTGATCTTGCCACATCACTTAACGTGATCCCCATACTGCGACTGTGATGCTGATGATGCTAATGGAGATGATGGTAACGATAAAGACAACAACAATGATTATCAAGTTCCTGTACACTCTCAGATGTGGATGGTGACTCTGCTAGTAATTCAAACTCAGCATTTCATGGAGGATGGTTGTGCTCATGATGTTCTTTCTGGAGGTTCAACACTACATACCGCACTTTATAATTTAACTGGAATTGAGATGAAGGCCAGTGACATGACAACTGTGACCTAAGAAATGGGAAGATTATCCTTCAAGATAGCTGCCTAGAATTGTTCAACAGTGAGTAACTTCCAAAAGCCAAAAGAGTTTGGCCTCATGAGGCAAGGTGACTGACTCAATGGCTTCTTGAATCTCAGCAGCTCCGCCATCTTGAAGAATGATTGATTTTTCAAACACTGACCCAAGAACTGCTATCAGGGTGCAAGTATCTTACTAGTTAGCCTAAGGACGGGAAAATATCACTTCCTAATATGCCATCTTTCAACAGTATTTCCTACAGCTAAAGCCTCAGGCCATTGCCTAATTAACAATGAAGATTTCATGGACGTCCTACACTTCAGGATTACTTGACTATCCCAAACACATAAATCAAAATGGGCTAAGTAGCAAATCTTGATGAATTTCCACTCTTACCATCCATTCTTACTACAGACAATATAACTGAACATGTGATTAGAATGACCTATATTAATGTTTAGTTATTTTTGGTTGAGTCCTAAATATTTCAGAAGGCTACTTAACATGTAAGATGCCAACTTCAACACTGTAATAACATATACTGTGAAAACATTCCTAAAACATAACCAAAGGGTTTACTAACTCTGCTTCAACATCCAACAACACAAAACCGTATGATTTTTAAAATCATGAAACAGAGAAAGCAAAGCATATTTTTACATCAATTTGTATCCTATCATACTTCATAATATATATTTGTATATTCAAATTGCTATTTTATAGGCCCAAGATGTGTTTCTCTAAACATTACATTCTCATTGCCAAGTGCCAACTGTTAGACATGGAGAGGAAATGATTCCTTATATTAAACCTGACCAGAGCTTTTGCCTTGTAGGATTTTATTTTTCCCATAGTGTGTCAGTTGTTATGCCACAATAACAACAATAATAATGACCTTAATGTCCAAGGTACTTTGTCATTTACAGTCCTTTAACATCTGTTATACCATGTGATGCCCCTGAACACCCCATTGGGCTATTGTCTGTGTATTCTGCTATCTCTTTAGCAGATGATCTGTAATTTGGTCATTGTTCTGTTATATTCCAGATTGCTCTACTTGCTAATATTTGTATAGAATAGAATTTATGTAAACTAGTAACCAGTTGATCTCTGTGCCAAATACATTATATCAGGATTACACAAAAAGTATCACAAAGGATGGTCTTGGCCATATGCTAGGACCCCTGTGAAAATAAGTAGTTTTAAGTAGTTTTTCTATATACATATATATATGTGTGATTCTATTTAGGGGGGGAAAGATGAAAAAGCAGGGACAACGGTAGGAAATGAAGGCAGAGAAATATAGTTTCCTGTCCTAGGGTTGAGACAATTCTATTTTTCATATACTCATTGCTCATTAAATATTAAAGGGATGATTTGTTGAGAGAGTAGCTGAGAGTTCAAAAACATCCTTGCAGAATGATTCAAAAGACAAAAGCCAGGCTCAACTTACAGAATGTTTTGGAGACTGGAAGTAATGATACATTTCACTTCAGAAGCACTTGTAGATATTTACTAGTGCTAAGTATTATGGTGAGCTATCATTAAAATGTGCCGTCTTGGATAAAGGCCTTTTGCCTGCTGTCTTCTGCCATTTTGATACCTCAATATTCACACCCATAAAAATTACTAAGCCCCAGTTCTATCCTCGGAAGGAGTTGTTATTCTGTTGTTGTTCCCTTATGCAATTTTTAATTCTATGAATGTTAAGTATTTTTGAACTAATGATAGATAGAAATGCCTACTGAAAGAAAAATAAACAGAGACAAATGTTAAAATTGCCATATAGACTGTTTTCCCCCTGTTGTTTCACCTTAAAATAAAAAGAAATCCTTGATTAATCAGAATGCCTTGGGACATGAACTTAATTTATTTAGTTTTCTAATAAATGAAGGGCCAATTCTTATTTGTTTTAATCCCTGCTGATGAGAAACATTTGAAAACTTGCTTGCTCTCCTGCCTCGTTGTAGCTTTCTCTGATGAAGACTTTTGCAGTATATTGTATCCTTCACTCTATGGCGGAAGTTGTGTGTGGAATATGTAGACTCCAGTGTTTTCTTAGGAGGGGTGGAAAGGGGCTTTTTATTCTCTCCTCTCCTCTCCTCTTTCTTTCCTTTCTTTTTGCATCTAAACTGCTACTCTACATTTTTTATTGTTGTTTGCTTTGTCTTTTTCTTTCTACAAACAGGAAACAAACAAACAAAAAAGCACAGGATTTTCTCAATTTGGAAACTCAATTGAATGATTTCCAGTATAATCAGCATTTTGATAGAATCTCACAACTTATTTTTCTCTGCTTTTATTTCCTGTTTTTCTTTGTTCCATCTTTCTAATTCTAGTGAAAATTCAAAGTCTAATTTCTCCCATGTTGAGAATAAATTTTTCATCTATGATTTACTGATAGAGAAGAGCTTGGTAAGGGAGCAATTCAAGGAGACTATTTTGCCATGCAAATTTCTGATCAATTCCCACAGATTCTGGTGAAATGAAAGATATTCTATCCAACATTTAAACATTGAAAAATTTAACTGAACTTACTTATCACTGATGTGTATTTATCCCAGAAACTAATATGTGAAAAATAAAAATATTTCAATACTATCCGTGGCTCTAGGAAAATGAACTATAAAAATGGGTCACAATTTTTCTGAAATTGGCATGAAAACATTCAAGATAAAAATAATAGACTAAATATCATTTTCTATTCTGCATAATTCTATGAAAAAGCAAGGTAATTTTTAAAAAGTTTTAAAATGAATGTTTGAATCTTTTCCAATTTAACCAAGTGAGAAGTAGTAATGATTTACATTGTTATGATGATAATGTGAATAAGAAACCTTTTAGAGTATATGATTTTACATTGCTATCAAAGCTATCAAAGAAAAAGCAATTGGGATTTGGAGGAATGTTTGTATATATGCACATAGAGTCCATTTGTGTGTGTGAACACACATATATATACATTATATACTTATAACTATATATAAAGGCATGTGTATAATCCTATATTCTTCACTGGTGCATGTGAATCATAGAAAACCCTATTTTAGACCTCATCTGAAATTTGTTGGGTTACATTTTGAATCCTGATGAAAAAAGCAAAAATCCAAATTAAATGGACTGATTGCTAAGAGTACATAAAATCATATTCAAAAGCTGGCCAGAAGAATAAAGCTAGAGAAGCTGCTAAATCTAGAAAACACAATTAGATGCCACAGTTGTCACAAATCAGACTTGTAAGTATAGCAATCTGTATTGTGGGTTCTGCCGATTGCAGGCTTAGCTAAAGTCACATTGAAAAACATTGCATCAAGCTTCATTCACACTGAAGTAAATGAACATTGGTCCTCCTATTCAAATAAGCCAGTCTTTAGCATAAGCAAAATCCAGATTTGCATGATTTTTATTATATAGCTAGAGAACTGTGACCACTGTGAAAAAGGAAATTTATATAAGGAGATTGCTCTTGGAGGATTTGGTATGAATCAGCTGAGGTAGGAACAAGAGTCTGAATTGGGGACCTGCTAACCTTCCAAGAAGTAAAAGACCATCAGAAGAGAAAGACTGTTACTTAGAAAAGAGACAGCACTAAAGTACTTCACCTGGTAGTGTTAATTGGATGTTAATTATGAGGTTGGTTTAATTTCAATAAGCGAGAAAATATAATCAGATGACTGATTTTAAAAAAGAATAAAAACAATGGGCCCATCTAGCCTTTAATGGGACATGTTAAATGCAAACAATAAATTATGTTATTCAGTGTCCGTTGTTTGCATGGCTTAGCACAACAAAGGATTTACAGTCTGGGGGCCAGGAGGGAAAAAATGCTTTTTTCTTAAAACAGCATATTTAAAAGACAAGACCTCATCATTTTAATAGTGTACATAGATTAGTGACTGAAGGAGCCAGTGCTAGCCTTTGTAAGTAGTGTAGACTTTTAGAGCTGAAAGAGATTTTAAAGACCAGCCAATTCAACTCCTACACCTTGGAGCTGAGGAAACAGACAGAGGTGAAGTGATTTGCCTGTAGTAATAAACTGGACTAATGGCAGTACTGAGACTCAAATTCTTGTCTCATGTTTTCTTCTCTAGTAATTTTTCCACTACACTTTTTAGACAGAAGAGTAGCTGGAAAAAAAAAATGCCTAACTGATTTTACTAAAGAGTCTATTCATGGAATCCAAGGGCTCCAAATTGTATTAATTCTGCTCAGGATGAGCACACTGAAGTGGAGCAATATTTTCATAATTGAAGGAACATATCCCATTGATTGTCTACACTCTGTTCTCTCTGTTTGTTGCTATTGGTAAGGCTAGGCTATGTTCTGTTATCACAAAATTCTAGGACTTGTTTAAAGAACATAAAGTTGAGTTTCTTACTTTCTCTTTGTAATTGAGGATGAGCAAGCCATTGATACACCAAGAGCTGTTGAGTGTTGGAGGTTGCCTGGTGAAACTGGCAGGTCCTGTTGCTGACATTTCCCCAGAGCTAAAGTGTCCTCATATTCAAACCAACTCTGCTGCTCAAGTTAGTGAAATTATCCATCAGCACTAACACTACCCTTTGGGTTCATGCTCATCCCTGCGCTATATGTGACCTTTGAACCTAGATACCCTTCTGGAAGGTGAATGAAAGCCCCAAATGTCCCTCAAGACTTAGTCTGCATAAAGCATTGAAAAGGATTTTTTTTTCTCTACAGTACATTTATATGATACTGTTAGAAGTGAAGAATTTTGAAACTACATACAATGGCCTCTGAAAATGGTTCCTGTGGCTCAGAAATGGTATATTGTTCTGTTGCTTGTTTTTGCTGAACTGTAGAGAAAACACCAGAGTAAAATTCCATGTAAATTGCTAAGGCATCGAATCAGAACTGTCCTTGGGCATTGTAACAGTGCAGAAAATCTCATTCAGTTTTTTTCTTTTTTTTAATTAACTACTTTTTTGTTTCCTTTCAGAATAGGCACCTTTTTTTTGAGTAGAAAAGCTCTTCTTTCTCCACAGATACGTCTCTTTTTGTTCACACCTTGGATTCTTCAGAAAATAGAAGCTCACTTCCTTCCATAAAGGTGAAGAACATCTTGATGAATAAACAGTCAACTACCAAGTTCACATATTTACCTATGTAGTGAGAGCTGTTTCTAAGAAACTTCAAAGGGATCAAAATGAGGCAATTTTATAGCTTTTTGTTACCTAATCTACAAAGTACTAATTTCCTTGTGTTTAGCTTTGTTGTCACTGTTACTGAGTAAATACCCATTTCTGTTACATACGGAACATTTTTTGCTTCACTCATTTTCCTGAGTTCCCATGATTTTTTTCTGTAGTTTCTCATTCATTTTAAAACCTGTAATCTTCATCTATTTTTAGAAGAAACTGTAAATGCACAGTTGTACATTTGTTGAGAGTTTTTATGACATTATAGTGCTTTATTTATAAGCATTGTGTCTTAGAATAAAGCTTACAAAATGGCAAAGGGCTATTGGCATATTTCAGTTTGTTTTACAACAGGACAAGTAAGGATATGTTAACAAAGCCAGAGGAAAAAGGGGGTATGGGATTTTTAATATAGTTGATATCCAAGTCAGAAACATATCCAGGATACTACTACAAACAATAACAAGATAAAATGTTAGTCTGCCTCTGGAATTTGTTTTGTCCATATTTACTGTCTGATGCTGACATATATTTCTTTTTTTCCTATGCCAGACATATTAACAGAGTTGAGTTAGCACATAAGCTGCATAAAACAAAGAAATCTTCCTTCGTTCCTCCCTTCCTTCCCTATTCCTTACTTTCCTCCCCACTCTTCTCATTTTCTTCCCACAAAACTCAACACTCTTGCAGTTGAATGTCAAATTTGGATAATTTTTCTTTTAACAAATCAGCTTATCGTTATCTATCCAACTCTATAAGAGATCCATATTTGGAAATGATCTCAAAATGAGAGTCATCTTTGGAAATAATGACTTCCAATAACTTATATGCCAGGCTTATTGAAGGGCTGTATATCTCATTCAGTTTCCCCAATACTTTATGAGGTACATAATGTTACCATCACCATCTCACATATAAGGAAATTGAAGCACTAGCGAGATTAAATAGCTTGCCCATGGTCACACAGCTTTTGATGAAATGAGATTGGAACCAAAGCAGTTTGGCCCAGAGTCCATACCCATTTGGGGAAGGCTAATAAATGTAACCAATAACACCCCAAATTTCAGTAGCTTAAGAGAATGAGATTTGTTTCTCTCTTGAACATAAATTCTACATAGATGCTCCTCTCCAACCAGCTTGTTTCCAAGGGTGACTCAGATACAAAGACACTTTCCATCATGTGGCTTTGCCCTCCTCCAGGTCCTTTGAGTCCTCTCTGTTTGGCCTACTAAAAAGGAAAGAGCAAAAGGGAGCTTGTGCTGGAAGGTTTTTATGGGCAAGTCTGGAAGTGATGTATATCACTCCACCCACATTCTATTGGCCAGCCTTGCTCACGTGGCTTGGTATGCGCAATGCTGTCTAAATGTGTAGGAAAAGAATTTGATGAACATGTAGCTGTTTCTGCCAGATATTCTTAGTCATGATGACACAATAGCTGAAAAAGAAAACACTGAGTTTTGTGCAGCTCTATGGGTGAGTTGTTTTGATAATCCTTGTTCAAGCACTAGAAATACTTCAGAAAAAAATTTTTGTATATGGATATTAGTACCCACACCAGAACAAGAATAAAATAAGGAACAATATATTGCTCCAGGTTGTATTATATCAGGAAGAGAGAATATGGTTTCTTTTGCTCAAGGAAGCAAGAGAGAAACTGGTACACAAGAAACACTTTTAAGTGACTGAACTCTACCCACAATAGAAGTAATGTGACTTTTAAAGTCTTAGTGATCCGTGGTTAAAGTAGGATAGATGCGCCCTCACCTCTGATCAACCCCTTGTTTTTGTGCCTATTTCCCTTGCAAGATGCCACAGAGATTCACCTTTTTTTCAGCTGTCCTTTGGTCTTCAGGTCTATGCAGCACTGTGATATTTTTTACTGCAGAAAATATAATTGCTATTTCTTGAATTGTAAATTTAGGAATTTCTCTCATTCATCTTTTTTATTTGTTAATATTGACATACGAACTTAATAAAGGTACTTACATGCCTTAAAAAGACCAGACACACCACAACATCACAGGGCATATTTCTATAAAGAGAGGACCTTACATGCATTCTCTCCCTCACTCTTCTTCACTTCCCGAGACTTTCTACTCTTTGACATCATTTTCTTTAAGCTATCTAGGAATCCTTTTCCCTTAACACTAACAGAATTTTGCATCCTAGAGGGTTGTTTTTTTCTGTGTTTTTTTTGTTTTTTTTTGCCTAATAGGAAACTATTTGCTATCTTGGGGAAAGTACTTTGCATGCTAGCATATAAATTTTCTTAGTTTGTCCATTGAGGGAGATTAGCTGGGACTCTAAAAGCAATATAATTAGAGAAGAGAATCTGCCAATGTTTACCTTCTTTCAGATTAATGAGAAATTTCTTTTAAGGACAAGAAACTTTACTGTCTAGTTGGTAAATGACATAGGTTTGAATCTCTTTCTAAGAGTTATAATTGATGATAATAATATTCTGTGGTGCTTTACAAGGATAAATTGTTTAGTTTAATCAGAGTGGTGGCTCTCACTGTCCATAAGTCCATGGGCAAACGTCTTGACTAATACAATCATGGAGTATACACCAGCAGAACCTTACACCATGCATTGTTGAGAGTTCTTGCTCTATATTTGATAACACTTTTCAAATATGCCATTTTCCATGATTACAAAATCGCTTAATCTTTCGAAATAATTTTCCTACAAATGTCTAAATTTCTCCAGAAGTAGAACATATACAATCAGATTTACTTGGAATGATCTTCCTTAGTCAGTGGTGTTTTCCTTCAAATTAAAATGGTTTGGACAACACATCTTTTGGTGATGCTGGTTATGATGACTTTCCTTCCTAGTAAAAATAAAAATAAAAAAAGGGGTGAGGGGAAATACTCCACAATCTTTGATGGATAAAAGGGCATTAATGTTGGATGAGGACACTAATGTCACGCAAATGTATCAGTGAAATATGCACAACTGTGCCTGGCTGTTCAATAAGGAACAGAAAAAAATTAAAACTTTCAACAGCACGACATATGGACTCAATAAAACCAAATGAAATTTGATAGGAACAAATGTAAAGCCAAACAAAAAGGTTTTTAGGTTCAGAAAATACAGGAGCATGACTTTATAACAATAGTCATGGAAAATATTTGGAGGTATAGAACACTGTAATAGAAGATATAGCAATGAAAAGGTCACTAGGACCCTGATACATACACAAAGAGTCTAAGAACAAAACAGCAAGGTTCAGGACTGGAAGTGTTTTTAAAACTTGTTTTTTGTTTTCGTTTTTGAGATGGAGTCTCATTCTGTGGCCCAGGCTGGAGTGCAATGGTGCAATCTCAGCTCACTGCAACCTCTGCCTCCCGGATTTAAGCAATTCTCCTGCCTCAGCCTCCCATCTACCTGGAATTACAGGTGTGCCCCACCATGCCCAGCTAAGTTTTGTATTTTTGTAGAGATGGGGTTTCACCACGTTGGCCAGACTGCTCTTGAACTCCTGTCCTCAAGTGATACACCCACCTCACCCTCCCAAAGTGTTGGGATTACAGACCTGAGCCACCACGCCCAGCAAAACTTATTTTTATTCAATGTCTGATTGGACAGGTAATATATTTTCATTGTCAGAAACATTGAAGACAGAAAGGTATGATACCTATTATTGCACTTCCCAGGGTTCATTCAGTATTTTTCTATAGATATTATTGATAAAAATATATATATAACGGTGTTTTATAGCCTGCTGTGTCTTATTAATAAGGAATTACAAGCATTTTCTCAAAGTCATTAAAGTATCCTAATATTCAGTAGCTGCATTGTGCCCTAAGCTATTTAACGATTTCCCCCAGTCACTTTTCTTTTTATGCTAAACAGTTTTGTTAATGAATTTTTGAACATTTCTCTGATTATTTTTTTTTATTGCATCAGCATACAGTGGTGCCTGCTTCCCTGAACCCTTGCCAAAAATGATGGGATTCTTCAACCTTGCCGACTTTATGTATGCAAAACAAGGTTATCTTCTTTTAATTAGCATTTAATTGATTACTATGGAAATTTAAAATTTTGCATATTTATAGGAAACTAACGTGTCTTCTTACACGAATAAGCTCTTCCTATACTTTATCCATTCTTCTACTGCAGTAGAAGTCACCACAATATAAAGAAACCGACAATTGAGAATTCTTTCAAAAAAGAGGAAACAGGTTGAGATCAACCAGGATCATGTGGAAACTAGAAATTATATCACACCAGGAGTTGGAAACCCTTAGCCAGATTAATAGACTGTTTTAGAGAGAACAAAATTCAAATACTTAAAAGGCATCAATGCAGGTGCAAAATTAAAGTCTATGATTCTATTGGACATAATAGAGCCAATGAGTAAGATTTCAGACTTTATCTCAGGAGAGCATTTAGAAGAGTCTAAAATTAGAGTGTGGATTTTTAGGATGAATGAAATTGTGTTAAGTATTTGCAGATAGATCACCCCACTTTTCAATAATTCGTGTGTTTATGTAGCTAGTTGAACTCAGTGACCTCCTAGGTCCCTTCCAAAGTACACGTTCTATGAAATAGGATGCAACTTTTATGCACCAAGGCCCGGTTTCACACTGAAACTCTGAAAAAAATAACACACTAAAATGTTTACCCTTGTCTTAGCAGCAGCATATTCAGAAGCCATCTCTTAAAAAAGGTTATTTCTGATGATGACAAATTTCACCTAGTTCATATTCAGAACTGGTTCCCAAGTTCTGGAAGTGCATTCAATTAACGGTGGGTATAAGGACACATACACATACACTCCTCTCCTTGACAACCTCCCCCCACCGGCCCCCAGCTCTACTACTGCCAATCACTGATTTCATTGTCTTAATGCCTCACAAAAAGGTGTAAGTTCCTTTGCTTCACAGTGTGAAAAATTCATTCACATTTCATACATCCATATTTTTATATACTTGCTATGTGATATGTATTTGAAATGTAATGACTCAAGAAAATTACATTTAGTATTATAGCATTTCTCATGTTGGTAATTTATGATAATGGATGTCACTGTAGATTTAAGAGTCATTTATATTGTCCACCTTTTCCTATTTCTGCTAGATTAAATAAATTCTTCATATCGAATTTTGTTGCATTTTTCAGTTTTCTTGTCTGTACCATTCACTTTCAGTATATTTATAACCCTTTTATCTGGTCTTTGTAGTTTCAAAATGATGTCTTGGATATTTTAAGTTTAGAGCAATCAATGTCCTTTTCAAATTGCCCTCTTAAGATTTTTGTAAAATAATATTCTCCATAATACAACTTTAAATTATCTACCTTTTCCTTTACTAGACTTAATCCAAGAAGGCTAATTGAACATTAAGCATTTTAATCATCCCACACTGTCAAACCTGTCTTCTCATTACTGAGAATTGGATAGTTCATGAGCTTAATTGTGTTCCTGGCAACGTAACTAGAATGAAAGGTTGATAATATGATTTGTATATATGTAAGGACTTAGTCCTGGTCTTTATTGATATCTATGCAAAAATATAATCTCAACAAATATACATTAAATATAATCAAATTCATGGTACTTCATTAAAGCTTCGGAGGATACAGAGATGAGTAGAATGCAGTATTTATATTTATGGAGTTTACTAAAGAATTTTTTAGAAAAACAAAATTTCCAAATAACCACAAGATGATTCAGAACAAGTTAATGGCCACAAAAGTGATGCAAACAAAAAATGTTAAATGTAATACAGAAGCATAAGAAGTACAAGGACACAATAATTCAGATATTAAAATTGTCATTGCATTATATGTGCAAGTAGTGTTCAAATGTACCTATACGGTGATTTAGACTCCCAGGATGACACAATGCACGCTGGATTTCAGGAAGTGCCTTTTGAACTGCTATTAGTAATGGCTTATAGAAATGGTTAATACAGAAGACAGTGCCAAGACATAAAGACGCTTTTATCTAACACAACATGAGGATCCCTGACAGCAGTGTCTTGTAGAAGAGCAATATTTGTTTGAAAATATAGGGCTTATTTTTGACAAATGAAATAAGAACTTTCATAGTATGGTAAAATGCTGAGAATTCTCCTATCTTCTCTGGAATCTGCTAGGGGGCTACAGGGTTCAGACAAAGCTCTAGCACTATTTTTAAATGTATTCATTGAACAAATAGCACCTTTCAAAGACATTTTAAAGTGAGCTGTGAATTCAAATAGCATATGATGTGAAACCAATGTAGGTGTAAATATGGATCCATTTTATCCCTTTTATCCATGTAGATCAATTAGTCTTGTATTATTATTCTTGATATGCATTCCCTCTCAGCTTTAGGAGTTACCATGAATGTGAATTACCCTGATTATGGTTTTTCTCATGACAATTTCATGTATACTTACCTAGAGTGCTTGAATGAAAATTTTCTAATGTAATGACAGCTATATGCATCTAACTGGAGACTTCAGCAGGGCCAAGAAACAGACTGTGAAAGCAAAAATCATAATATGCATCTGTCCCAACTTTTACCTGTCATCTAGAGAAAATGTAACAGAGGAACCACACTCTTTTATTTTATTACATAGATTGCATGTTCTAAATAATCTAGTTATGTCTTCCTGGAAGTTATCTATTAGGTCCCAGAAAAAAAAATTATGGTCTTACATAGTAGAGATTTACTCTAGGTAGGCAATAAGAGTAAAGGAAGAAAAGATGGCTAGTTGCAAGGTCATAAAGCAATACTCTTCCGTGTCTCTTTTCAATTTCTGCTGAAGTCTACTATTCCTTCCTAATGAGTCTCCTTCTCTATATATTAGCTGAATTGCTCATGTAGGTGATCTCATGAGCTCTGGTCATTTCTGTAACCTGAAGTCCAGAAATAGATCCATATTTGATAGATTTTTATGTTAACTGATTTTTTATAGAAATAACAAAATAATTCATTGGGAAAAACAGTCTTTTGACATGTGTTGCTGAAAAAAACTGGACTCTGTTTGAAAAGAAAAATGAAAAATTAATGTGAAATGGATAATTTACCTAAACAGAAAAGATGAACCTATAAGAAAACAAAGGATAAAATCTTCATAATTTGGGTTAGGCAAAGATTTCCTAGGACATAAAAAGGAAAAATCATGAAAGAAAACTATTAATAAATGAGATTTTATCAAATTTTTAAAATCCTTTTTGAAAGAGACTATTAGGAAAATGACAAGGCCAGCCACAGACTAGGAAAAATTTGCGATATGCATAGGAGATGAAGGACTCATATGGGATAGATAGATAGATAGATAGATAGATAGATGGATAGATAGATAGATAGATAAACAGACAGATATTAAAACTCAATAATTAGAAGACAAACACCTGAATTAAAAGTGCACAAAAAATTTGAACAGACACTTCACAAGACAAGATGCACAAATAGCTAATAAGCACATGAAAAGATACTCAACACCAGAGTGAACAGGAAGTACAAATTAGAACTGAACATTCTTCTAGGTATAAGGGATTCACTGCCAAAACATTCCAACATAGTTCCTGCTTTTGTGGAGTTCGCAGTGTAATGAGAGATACAATTAAATAGGCATTTCTAAACAATGGAATAAGTGCTAGGATGGGAGAAATACAAGTGTTTGGGGGATATTGTCTGATGGAGGAAGTCTTAACATAGACAAGAGGTTGAGTAGTCAGGCAACCCAAGTTCACTGGGTAGGCACACAACTCGAGATTGCTAAAATAGGCTTCCTTGGCAAAGTTAATTTAAACTGAGATCAGCATAATGAGTGGAAATGAATACAGCAAAGGGGATGTGAAAAAGGCCAAGCATGGACAAAGAATAGAATAATAGAGGGAGTTACAATAAAGAAAGAAAACATGACAACTTCCAGAATTTGAAAGAAGTTTAGTATGACTGGTTGGAGGATGATATAGTTTGGATGGCCCCTCTAGATCTCATGATGAAATACAATCTCAGTGTTGGAGGTGGGGACTGGTGGGAG